AGAGCCTGCTGCTTCACGGTCGCTTCTCGGCTGTTCTGACCAGTCGAAGATGTTCATTTTCGGACACGAGTCAAGCGCCTCGTGGTTGAGACTGCGAGAATCGTACTTGTGTGATTGCCTTGTCTCGCTTCTGAAACAATCGCCGCCATTACCCTTCAACGACAACATTGAAGATTGCACTTGTGTGAATGGGTTGGTAGTTTCACCGGGCAATGCCGCCACCAGACTGCGAGAATCTTCGTCGTCGGTCAAGTCAGACGGGAAAGATATATGGCTGTCACCTTCGTGCATATCCGATGCGCTGTCTGCGATATGGCCTGGCATAGTAATGGGCGTTGGCGTCGCATCTGCATCAGATTCACAATGGCAATTCCCAAGCGACTGTGAAGTAAGAGATTCGCGTGTTTCAAGTGCATGGCCATTAGAAGACTCTCCCTCCAAGGTATTCACGGGGAAGTCCTTATCAAAGATTGTCTCGATTCGAGGAGCATAGGAGCCCAAGCCACTGCTGGTGGTGAGATGGGTGCGGATGGAGTCAAAGGCAGTATCGCTCAAGAAATCTGTCTCATCCTCATCGCCAGATGTGAATATATGAGTATCATCGGAACCTATGACGGTTGATGCAGGGTCTGATGCAGCGATAGAATGGCGTTTTGGGCGCTGACGAAAAGTGCCTTGAGACCTAGTCAGTGTTACTGAGTCCAGGGTGAATGGACGTGATCCGATGTCCCGTAGATGAGCCATCTCTTGTTTGTAGTCCTGAAGATAAAGAGGATAGGCTCTGCGTCGCGGACCCATTAGTTCCGACATCAATGACGAAGTAGCGCCGTTTTGTGCAAAGGTCGGACGACGGAAGATGTTAGGGTCGGTGATGTTTCGTCTTCCATGTGTGTGAGGTGGAATCACCTGTGTTCCTTCCGTCTTTGTCGACGCTGGAAGAGGCGTTGATATTGCCCTTCTTTTAGAATAAACTAGGGGAACATTTTTGAAGTTTTCGCCTTCGGCGGCTCCAGTGTCGGTTGGGGGAGACTTAGGATCCGCATCTTGCAAAGAAGGCGAGGTTTGGGAATCGCTTTCCTCCGGCGGCAGTGACAATTCTTTTTGTTGAGATGAATTCCCACTGGGCTCGAATGGGTTTCGAAACTGGACTGAAGGGGAAGGAGTAAATGCATCCAGGCCAGCTTCCGCCGTCGGTTGCTTCCCTCTGATAGATGTTGCCAAAAGGAGAGCCGGGGCAGTCTCCGCATTCGGTACGATCCGCCGCAGCCCTTGGTCTTTCGGTCTCGTTGCGGTTGAGAATCTGCGCGCCAGCCTTTCCGATAAACCCTCCGGGCTGACGTCTATGTATGGACGCCAGACATGATCATCCCCTATAGCAGCAATATCAGGTTTGCTTACCGGAGGGTTCAAGATCAGACTCGGTTCGAAATTAAGACTATGAGTAGCTTTATGTCCCAAGGTCTCAGACCGCTGATGACTAGTAGCAGGCCTGCGAAAACCAGTGGGAGTCAAAGGGGAGGATGGCGCGATCCCGGACAATGAATGAGAGTTGGCATGATGTGAAGGTGGCCGCTTGACTAGTTTGTTGGGCCTGCGTTGAATAGAAGCGGGAGGGCTGGCCGGGCTACCGGGCGTGTTTGATGAAGGGGAAACGGGGGTCTGGCATGAAGCGCGTTTCTCCGGTTGAAATGACAGGCGTCGCACCCAGGAAGACGAGGGCCGTCGTATGTGCGCAGCGAGTGAAATATTCTCGAAGACTGGCTTTGGCGGGCCAGTGAAGGTCTGTCCGCGACGTCGCAGTCGTACACCTGCAAACGATGATTTCCTGCGCGACTTCTCCTCTCCCGGCTTACTCGTATCAAATGCACCATCTTCTGACCCCCGAAAGAATTCTGCGGTCAGAGGAGATTGTGCTGTCACTGATGGAAAGGGACTTGTGGGGACATGGTTTGCATTTGACAAGGATACGGTATCGTCTGTCGCTGTCGCGCATTGATCATGCAGCGGGAGGGTCTTTTTCCGGAATCGGCCTGGTCTGGAGGAGCTTCGATCTACGCGACCGAAGGCGAAGCCAGTTGGTGCAATACCGACGGTGCTAATTGCACAGAGCTGATCGAAAAGGAAGAAAGAAAAAGCCAGTTAGCCGCGACTACTTGTAAACATAAAGGACGCGAAATCTGAGTCAAGCGCTTTGCTTCTCCCCATTTGCGCGAGGCAGAGAGCCTGTAGCCGCAGCAAAGTGGACAACCAAACGAATGCGATCCAAAAGAGATCTGATCGGACACAGAGCAGAACTCACAGTTGATACATGCTCCATTCTCAGAGGGCGCCGAGAACAGTGTCAAGCACCATAAACCTCAGATTAGCCACATCGATATCACATGTAGTTGACGACCCATCTGCATTATCTTGCACGAGGAGGATCAGCTAGCCCGACACATCTAGATAAACACCATCTCAAAAGAAGACAGGTGGAATCAGAGCGCGATCTAGCCTTGCGGTGGTGAAAGACAAAGCCACAGTGGCAGTATAGCAGCAGTATTAATTATTTGTAAAGACAATCCCAGCGTGCGATCAGTGCGACCTTAGGGTGGGTGAGGGGAAAGGGTGTCGGAGCCAGCTAGGAGGAAGCTAAAGGAATGGGGGAATCGTCGAAAAGGAATGTAATCAAGGAATGAGGGACTAAAGAGGAAGACTGAGCGACTAGAGCTTTGGCCCGCGCAAAGTCTCAGCAGTTTAACTGTCCTAAAGTCAACGGAGAGAAGAAGGAAAAATAAAAAAAATAAAGAAATCAGACAGCAGAAGGAAAAAACGAAGAAGCAGTAGCAGTAGTAGAGTAGCAGCGGCGGCAGCGGCAGCAGCAGCAGCAGCAATAGTAGCAGCAGCAGCAATAGCAACATGCGAATGAGAGAGGTAATAATAACAGACCAAGGTCATCGATCAACAAAAGCCCCAGTGGGACGCGGTCACTGGCTTTGCTACCCACGGGCGATGTTCTTCTGGTTCTAGTCTAAACTCAACCACTGGGAAAGGAATGGATCACGCTAGGAGTTCCACCCCCAGCACACCCACGACCGCAAGGCAAGTCCCAATAAATTGTGGCTAGAGTCAGGGAAGCGGGAAGAGCACAAATTGGAAGGGTAAAAGAAGGAGCATAGAAAAGCAGGAAAAATAAAATATTATTTAAAATTGTGCTTTCTTTTCTTTCCTTCAGTATTAGAATAGAAAACCGGTACGAAGATTAAAATCCCTCCACCACAAAAGCCGTTAAATTTTCACACCTCATTTATCTGGTATGCTACGCAAGAACTTCCACACACCTGTTTGGACCACAAAGCATAGACAAGGCAAGTGCAGCCACCATGATGGGATTTTGGAGCTGCTGTTGTTCAAGGGTTTGCTACTCAGTATTATAAAACTAGTGATCATTATGAGACTAAATATCTAGTACGTAGAGCTTTTCTGACAGCCTGGGGTTTAAAGGCACCAACTCACATCACGGGTGGACAGCGATAGCTACCAAGGAAACCTGAAACGCCTTCTTATGCAGAATAAGGAGGAACACGAGGGTATTTATGTAAGTCATTGCTCATGTACTCCATCCATGTAGTATGCAGGTATTATGTAGGAGGGAATTTACTGACGTGGTGGACTACTGAGCCAAAGGAATAGACTGGTGTGTTGTTTAAGCTGAAATCCAATCATGCACATAACCTGGGGAATGAAACACTTACCTTGTTCTAGGTAGAGTGATCAGACAGGTAAGTCAGTCTATGATTGTACTCCCTAACTAACTAATTACCGTAGTAGTTAGTATCTTTCGTCTTCAGCTGCTTACTGTCCACAGTCCACACACAGAAACACACTACACTACTAATGGTGTTCGGAGTAGTCCGACCGTCCACTACTACTAGTCTATCTACCCATCGGGCGGTGTATTTGGGTAATCATGGCGAGCCGCGATCCTTGCACCTCGGCGGCTGCAGCTGGGCCACTAGCGTGCACGATCCCACCAAGAGAGACTTGATGGCGAGGATGGGATCTGATTCCCGAACCTGTGCTGGCCTAATGAAACAAACCAGGGATCTTCAGCTCCTCCCCCCTCCCTCCCTTCCCGAGATTTTATGAGAACCTACTGGTCCAGAACGCCATATAATTGGAAGGGAAGCATCGACGACGTTCAACCCTCTCTCTCCCTGTGTCGTTGTATCCTATCCCTGCGCGAAGGGATGTTACTTACTAGCAAGGCGCCTAGATTATACTTGGTTTTATCCATCTTATGCTCTGACTAGATTTAGCATCTCACCCTGTTTGCTTTTTCCAACTTTCTCAGGACCTAGATAGTGGAGATGCTTCTGCAGAGAGCTCCAAAATCGCACGAGATGGGATCGAGGTGACCGAGTCTGGTTTTCTCATGATGCAATCAGACCGCAACTGGCGTCCGAGCCTAGTACCGATCAGGACCGCTGATTCCGTCCAAGTCATGAAAACAATGGGTCCCTTTTATAACGCGGCTAAGCCATCATGCCCATCCCCACTTTTTCACTGGAAGTAGCTTTCGGCTGGCTGGCTGACTGACTGGCAAAAGTCACCCTCATGACAATAATAATAAGAAATATTAATACTATTAATCTTCTCAGATAGCACGGGGCCCCGGGCTCGTATCCCTAGCTACTGCTATCTAGTCTCTTACTTACGTTCTCTGCTTAGCTTACCGAGCGAGCTATTCAAGGGAGCGAAGGAGGAGGCGATCTAGGCTGGCGATCTCTGGAACAACCATCGGCAGAACATCTGGTTCCTGAGCTTTCATAAACCGGCCGGTTCCAAGGCACGGGGCCGAGAGGAACAAGCGGGATGCTACCCAGGGTAGACTTTCTCAGTCCTTGCCTCTTTTAGCGCTTCCAATCCATTGTTTTTACCCATCTTTATCCATCCAAGTTCCCGATGTGATTAGGGAAAAAAAAAAGAAAAGAAAAGTAAATAAAATAAAATAAAATCCCCTTCATTCCTCCTTGCTGACCCTCTTTTCCCTTCCGCCTGTCCCCAGGATGACGACACTGAAGTCTGAAGACTCCAATTCTCCAAGGAAAATTTATCTAGCCCACTACGGTCGCATTTATTTTCCGAGAAAGGCCGAGAGCTCACGGCTTTTCATTTCCCAGTGTACCCGTGTGCAAAAATGTTCTTCGAGCGTTTGCGATCCGTAAGCAAGATGCCATGTAGTAAGGGAAGGCAGCCAATTTCTGAGTCCAACCAGTTGTATCGGACTTTCTCTCCGTCGCATGTGTCAAAACTGGCAGGCCAACGGTGTATAGTAAGCTTATCTCATCGAGCACAAAGGCCGATCGCGATGATAGATCCAATTTCTCGGAGCGGAACGTGGACTGCGAGCGTCGAGCTTCCAAGGGCACAATTTCTTCCGGCCGATTGCCGGCCGGGCTAGAGCCTTGAGGTCTCCATTTTTAATTATTTGTTTGTTGTATCGCTATTGTTACCTAGGCTCTGGGCCTGTTTACGCAAGACAGAGAGTAGTTCCGTTCAGTGCGATTGATTGCTATGAATTCGATCGAACCACAGGAGTCCGATCCGTAGCTGCGAGCATTCCGTGCCCCTGTGCATCTACCATCTATTGATTAGCCTTGCCTATCTGCTCCTGTTGCAGGCTTCGTTCAGAAAGAGTATGCTTTCCGGTACCTCCAGCTGTGCTGATCGACTTTCTTGGCGTTCGCTGCCACTGATTCATTCTCAACCGTCACCCGGACGGCCTTATTATAATCTGCCAAAAGCTGGTCTCCATGTTTCAGAATCTGATCCTGGCCCCATTGGATAAGAAAGAGAAAGACTATCCTTGCTGACTGCACCCCTTCCTTCGGTGGGTGTGAAACCATCAGAAGCAGGAACACCCGCCAGCCCTTGCCTCCAGAAATACGGCACTTTAACTGATGGGATAGTCTCCTAGGTGACACTGAGGGGCAAGTCCATGCATCTATGCAGGCATAACCCTGTCCTAATGATATCCTCATCATTGGGCCTCTAGGATTGGAGTGCAAAGTGCGCCGCGGTGCGACTGACCTATCCAGATTTAGCACACTTTGTGGACGAGATGTGCCGCTCGCTCCCTTGATTGGCGAAACTAGCCAGGGTTGCACGGCCCCATGAACAGCTGTCCTGCCTCCTGACGCGCGATCTTGGGGAGCTAAACCCGGTAATCCTTGCAAGGTCCTGTCGATGGACGTTGTTCACTCTCGTCACAAACCAACCATCTTCGTACAGGACCCGGGTACTCCGCAAGTGTCTCGCACTCGCAGTTGTGCCAATTGAAGCCCCTCTCCCCTCCTCGCCGGGGCAACCATGAGTGACCAAATCAACTGGCTCCTGAAGCTTGCTCAATTTGGTTGTGCGATGTTGCTTACTGCAGGTGATCAGCCAGAGAATTCTAATTTTGATAGATTAACATAGCATCCTGGCCTGTAGGTACACCGGTATGGCAATCTACCACTACGCACTTATTCGAGTGCTAGCTACTGTCTATATGCACATTACTCCGGGCTATTTTCCTGCTGCATTCGGGCTAACCTCTCAAGGCCTGCGCTTACCGAGAGGGAGCAACGTGAGCTGGCAAAGTTGATGCTCCTTCACCGACTACGCGGGGCCTACGCCCGAAAAACCGGGGCGGTAAGCTAAACACGATGATATAATCATGCTGGGAAAACAACTTTGTACCAACAAAGATGGGGCGCCAGATACTGGAACCAATGAAATCATACATTCGACCTGTTGGTTCGCAACGAGGAGCTGGTACCCGCCACCTAGATACCTAGTGGGAAAAAAGACGAGTCGAAAGTTTATGCCACTATACTCTAGACCACCATATCTAGGCTTTGCGAGGTAATAGGGTCCAAGCAGTCATGCAAAATAGCATTGATAGTTGGTACAGAAGACCATAGGCTTCATAGTATTACCTTCACTCGTTCGCTATGAATAAGAACCAGGCGCTACTAGCAGCATCTGAGCATTGCAGCAAGAGATTTCGTGATCCTGAGGGGACCATGGTACCTAAAGTCTTGGAACACTGGAAGATAGTAACATCAAAAGTGATGCATTGCAGGGGAACTAAGCTCACGAGTACAATGATGAATCGGCTATGCGTTGTTGGTAGATGCTCAATCACAGGAGACTATGAATACTTCGAGTCAATTGCCCGGTGAGCATGTATCGAAGCTACTCGACCAAAGCCAACATAATATGGCAGCTTGAGCCCAGCTTGCACTATTCTTTAAAGAACAGAAATTCATACCGCCTGTTTTTCAAGTTATTATATCGCCCCAAACTCTCTGGCTCAACTATCACCGCTGAAGCCTAATTGGTTCTTTCGAGGCACTAAACAATATACCAAACACATACTATCTGAGCCCCGTTTCCAAGTCGGACACTAATGATATGGAGACATAGACCGTGGGTATTTCGGAGCTGTCCATCCGTGGGCCTGCCTGTCAAGGATAACTATAGCATCTCTTCGTACTACATGCATTGTGATAATACCCGATAGATGCATCCTATCATTGTTTGGGGTTTGTGAGGCCGATAGCTTCGACAAGCAGAATATATATAGATAGTAAAAAGCTCTTCAGAGCCTTAATGAGAGTGTGCCATATCTGATCATTATTCGGGCTTTATCCATTTTCAGCTTTTGCCATCATGAGAAAAGTCTCTCGCTCAGGCATAAAACCTTCAATATCAGTGATATAGCAAGACAACCTTGCCCAGATGCCTAGATACTGGGCAGCAGGAGATATTAAGGACACTGAGAGAGTGAGGTAGGTGGTCTGACACGAAGCAGAACATTTGGATTTTGTAGAATGGGTGTTTGTCTTGGTTTTATTGTGTCCTGCCAATCTAATGTACCCCGTTCTACAGAAGACCAACCACAGCGGCATACCGCTCTTCGTAACCAAGACGTTATCCTGAATTCTGTGGTTTTCAGCTAGGATACTGCGGCGTTGATATACTCAAGCTGCATCATTCAAACTCGTATGGACACTGACCAAGTCCTGATAATGGCCTATAAGACTGTTATAGTGTAGATTCTCTGACCATACAAGTCTCTGCCTATAAGATGGATACTATTTGGCTCTTTTTATGTTCGAGGAATATCAGCCGGTAGCCTTTCAGCTGCGCTTTGGTCGATCAACAGGAATATGTTCATATGTACTCCTTGTCGTTGCAGAGATGATATGGGAGTGCTCGTGAGGAATGATGTCAAACTTTACCAGGTCGCCCAACAGTATATCATTAGACATAGCATAGGAACGCTTTGCAACATTGACCTGAATCAATAAGATCCAAAAATGTGTCCCCTTCTTAACATGATGTTGTATCCAGATCCATGGCTGCGCCACTGTTGAGTATGGGGGCGGTGGGTCGCGTGAGCTGTCAGCCTTATTATGTAAAAAGTGTCTACCCCGTGCCTGAGCTAAACCCGCAACCACTCCTCCGGATTCCAGAACCCCCTTTCCCGAACAATCTAGTATACCCCAGATATAGGGTATACCTGGAAGCTCGAGTCATACCCGTGCTTGGAATGGCTGATATAGATACCCATATAGAAACTATACAACCTTAAGCCATGAATCGCAGGGACGACAATGAGCCGTCTGACCCCAATGCTCCCTTGCTCCCTTCCGAGCCCCGGATAGACCAGGAACCCCAATATGAAGGTCGCAATGGGCCGAAGCCTACTACCGACTTGGAACAAACAAACGGGTGGTTTATTTACGCTCTGACCTTCTCCGCTGGCATAAGTGGGTTGTTATTTGGTTACGAGTAGGTCCGATCTGGCTAGCCTTCCCATCGACGACAACTCCAAGTAGAGAGTTGGTTGCTGTCATCCGTTATACTGACACTCTGCCTTTTGAAGCACAGGTGTTATTTCCGCAACCTTAGTATCGATCGGGTCCGACCTCTCTAACCATCCTCTAACAACATTGGACAAGAGTCTCGTAACGTCCTGCACCAGCCTGTTCGCTTTGATTGCGAGTCCGCTAGCGGGAATCCTGGCAGATAAGTTCGGTCGCAGAAAAGTCATTCTCGTTGCAGACGTGCTTTTCACGCTCGGCGCTTTCATACAGGCTGTCACAAGTGCAGTATGGGGCATGATAGTTGGAAGAAGCATTGTTGGCCTGGCTGTTGGTGGAGCAAGTCTGGTGACTCCATTGTATGTTCAGCCATTGCTAGTCCTTGCTAAAAGGACCCCCCCAAGGAGTACAGTAAGAGGGAATGAAGTTGACCTTTTGTCTAACATATCAACAGATACATCTCCGAGTTGGCGCCTTCCCATGCTAGAGGAAGGCTTGTGACGATACTGAGTCTCTTCATTACAGGCGGACAAGTCGTTGCTTATATTATCGGTTGGTTATTTTCCTCTGTATCCGGAGGCTGGCGCTATATTGTTGGCATTGGAATGCTCCCAGCAATTTTTCAATTTTTCATAGTCTTGGCTCTTCCAGAAACCCCCCGTTGGCTGGTCCAGGCAGGGTTCGAAGAGAAAGCTACGAAAATCCTCTCCCGGGTCTATGGGAGTCATCCCGACAATGGCCTCATGGCCAAGCAGGTTATGCGTGATATCCAGCAAGAAGTGGCTGAGGAGGAGGAAGAATTGACACAAACAAACAAGCCCTCCACAGGAAACTGGCTGTGGCTGACGAACGTTACACAGTGTGCTCGCCACTTGGTCCTCGTCGGTGGTAATCGGAGGGCGTTGATCATAGCGGTTATGCTGCAAGCCACACAACAACTCTGTGGATTCAATAGCCTCATGTATTTCTCGGCGACAATCTTCTCCATGCTGTCATTCTCGTCACCAACACTAGTGTCATTGTCAGTGGCATTGACCAACTTCTTATTCACCTTACTCGCATTTGCCTTTATCGATAGGATTGGTCGGCGCCGCATTCTCCTGTACTCAGTGCCAGTGATGGCTCTCTCCCTTATTGCTTGCGCTTTTACGTTCGGCTCAGTCGAGATGCCAAACCCCGAGTCGAGGGTACGGGCGGAAGATGCCACAAGTGATAGCGCTTTCCTCCCTGTTGTTATCCTGATATGCCTCACCGTTTATGTGGGAGCTTATGCTTTCGGACTTGGAAACGTGCCTTGGCAGCAATCAGAGCTCTTCCCCTTGAATGTACGCTCCCTGGGATCAGCCTTGGCTACTGCAACAAATTGGGGGTCAAATTTTGTTGTCGGTCTTACTTTCCTGCCTATGATGGAATGGCTCTCTCCTGGATGGACATTCGCGGCCTATGCGGCCGTATGCGTGTTCGGTTGGTTTGGTATTTACGCTATCTATCCCGAGATGAGCGGGCTTCGCTTGGAGGAAGTCAAGGAACTTCTATCAGATGGCTGGGGTGTTCAGGAAAGCCTTAGAAGACGTCGTGGTCGTCCTGGCGTGAGCTAAGGGGTTGGCTTCTGCTCATACGTGGCCCGCTTGCGGACTTTATAGACATTGGTTTCAACCACAAGCCAGCGTTCCAAATTTAATTTTCTGGATTTAGCTTGAAGTATTATTTATGCATTACTTGGCCAATAAAAGCGCACATCTTACCTCCGGTAACTATTTTCTGCATGCACTCCTTTCCTCCTTGCAAGGCCTGCCGTAGTGAGATCAAACTGACAGAGCAAAATCACCTATCTCGAATACGCTGCGTATATTTCACTTCGAAGAGAGCTATATTACTCTGGGTTGGCATGTAGCAGTACCATCATCCAAGCGAGCATAAAGTGGTCGTCGTACTTAGGTTTGAAACATAGTCTCGTGACAGAAGAATTGCCTTTCGTATAATTGCACACCGACTCGCTCTTCATTCAATCCCTCCTCTCTCGGTTTTTATGGGAGCTATGTACCTTAAGCACAGCAGTCCTCTTTGACTCTCCGTATACATCCGCGGAGAAAAGTGTGAATCCATCATTCTAAACATCTTCCTGCGTGGCTCGAGAACATAAGGCAAGTGGCTTGTCACTACTGTATAGCCTCTAATAGACAATATCAGTTACAAGGAAGCCTAACGAAGATGAGCTCCCAAATACCGACCATGGCGGAAAATTGCTCTCGTAACTCCTTTTTTCGCTTGCCCACAGAGGTGACAGTTCCTGCTATAACCATTGAATATGATTGCACTGCTAAGGTTGTCCATAGATCATTCAGTATATTGCTTACTTGCTACCTCGCGACGTCGATATGGTAAATTTCGCCCAATGCTGCCCTTGGCTAGCAGCAAAAACACTCCCAGGTCATTCTTCCATCTGGCGAAGCCGCTTCACTGACCTTTACGACGTTATTCGACATTATGCTTCTGATGAAGTTAAAGTTGAATATCAAATTCGAGCCATCGTCCTCTCACAATCCATCAGTTTCAAATTTGGCCAGAAGGAGGCGCAGACTCTCTGGCTGGAAGTCCTACGAGATTTGCTACGTGAATCATACTGTCTTCTAGAATCGAACGGGCCATTCACTTCAAAAAACCACCAAAAGATTCGAGACATACTCTCTAGCTCTGAATTTCTGAATAGGCCCGTTAGCGGCTACAGTCAGAAAGATGCAGGCCCGCCTTCCGATCTCTTCTGTGCAACCCAGTTGGTAAGCACCACAGATTTCATATAGGAGAGAGCGTAGAAACTGACTCTGACAGTGCCTGACCGGTTTAGCTCTGGATCCTCTAATGTCTGTTCAGTGTCTGAGGACAGACTATGACGTTGGCGTCGTCTATGGTTACAGGGCTGAGAACAGCAGACCGATTGTGCATGAAAACAAGATCGACCTGGAGAAGTTACTTCACATACGCAACTTCTGGCTTCGTCATCTTCTCTGCCCGACTGAAGCGACCTTTCACGCTTCTTATATTAACCTGGCTCCACGCTACAAGCCCAGATCATGGGGTGAGCCTGCGCCTTCTGATGATGAATTGCCATGGATGGGTTATGCATGTCAGTCACTCACCTGTTATCCAACCAGATCATGAAGATAAACGAGTGTTAACTTGTGTGTAGCATGTGTCCACCCATACCCGAGATCTCTGAAGATCCTCGAGGATCGCCAGACATGCGCTGATCTGGATACTAATTGTGCACAAGTCCGGTTTCAGGTATTGCACGAAATACTCCAGAAAAAGGAACCCAGCTGATTCAATGCCTGCTGTGTAGTCTCTTTTAGTGAAACCCGATCCCAACCCCTTGAATTGGCCACCTATACTTCAATCAGTAGTTCCTCTTGATCCTCTGAACTTCGAACGATCATATTTCCGTGGAACACGGAGGACACCTGATTACGTCGTTCAGCCCCCAGATCTGGTGCGAGGATTCTGTGAACCGATTGCCGATTTTCAAGGGGGCTTTTCTGGCTGGCGTCGCATTTGCTTCGTGATATATCAATGGGTTCAAGAGCAGCCGCCCGTTCCTCCTGCTCATGATGGCATAGAGCCCGCTTTGGATGAGAACGCATGGCTTTTCGAGGCAAAATGGCCGCCACCGGACTTTGAGTCTGATTTTTACTTGGTACAGGTTTACGAGGGCGTCATCCTACCGGAAGGTAGAATAATGATCGGAACTTGGATAGATCTGCTGGAGACACTGGACAAGGGTCCGTTTATCTTCTGGAAACGATGATGTTTTGCCTGTTTTTGAGCTCGTTTTTGATTTTTGACAACGTCGGGGTCGGATGAAATACATGGCAGGAACCCAGTTTATCCGTTATCACACATAAGATATGAAAAATGAAACTTAGGGGAAATGAAAATCTGAAGCCTACTCCTCGATATCCTTTACCTTCTCCCATTGTCCCTTGAGGTTTTCCTTCCACAAGCTGACCTTGTTATCGCCACCGCTCACAGCAAGGATGTTTCCACTAGGGCTCCAGCTGACGCGCCAGAGGACAGTGTCGAACTCGAGTTGCTGGCTGGTCCACTGGCCAGGGTTTGACGCATCGGAAGTCCAGATCCGGACTGTCTTGTCTTGAGAGGCAGAGGCGATGTAGGACTTGGAAAGAACGCTAGGCGACCAAGCGACATCCCGGACCCAGTCGGAGTGGCCTTCCAGAGTCTGCGTGTTGTTGTAGGTCTTGGTTTCCGGGCTGCAGAGGCGTAAGGGTCAGCTAAGTTCATACTAAAGCACAGTAGCGGCTCATGGTGCATACTTGTAGTCCCAGATCTTCAGCAGGTTGTCGCTTCCACCAGTGACAAATCTCCGCTGCTGGCCCGGTCCGGGGTTGGAGCTGATCAAGCTGCCAGGGGCGGCAGCAGGCGCCCAGCTGATAGAGTTCACACCCATACCGTGGGCGTGGAAGATCTGGTGAGTCCAGCTGTTGTCACGGAATTCGAGAACGCTAACATGTCCGTCTGAGGAGGCGCAAGCCAGGAGACAGCCACTCTCATGAGGAGCCCAGGATACCATGTTCACTGAAGCGGTGTGTAGAGAGAAGTCGAACACCTTCGTCCAAGCGCCGCCAGCGACGGGTGACGTGGCGTTCTGGTGTTGTTCGCGCCAGATGAGCACCTTTCCATCGTACGAAGAGGAAGCGAGGATAGTTCCGAACTTAGGGTGCGCCTAGAGAAGTCCAGAGTCAGATAGATAGTTCACTAGGACAGCTTGACAAAGAATGCCATTATGACGTACCCAAGCCACACACCACACAGCTCCTTCATGTCTGTTCACACACGGCCGGAGGTTAGAATCGATGGCGCGTAAGATGACCAGGAAGTTCTGGATCCTCACCCCTTCAATGTCTCAATCAACCGATGTGTCTCTCCTTCAATTTCAAAGATCTTTATCGTTTTGTCCGATGAACATGTTGCCAATCTGCGGCCGTAGTAGTCCAGGCCGGCATCGTGCTATGCGCTGCGGTCAGTCTCAGGGACCACACAGAAAGGGACGAAGCCATTGTCACAATGGCGTAGGAGGGTCTGTCTCGGTTCACGTACAATCATCTCATCGTGTCCGGAATTGGAGATTACTTGAGCAGCCTAGTTGCTTGGACGTCAGCGATGTTCATGGGCAATTCGCCTGGGACCGTTTGGGGGGAGTTGGGGGACATACCATATTGATCAACTTTTTGCTCGGAATTAAGATCGACTCTATAGGGTGAACAGGGACGTAAGCTCGTGGGTGGCCCTGCCGGGGAGTATTAGGGGGGTTCTTGGGGGGTAAGAAGGCGGTGGTGGAGGGCCGAATCAACACGCAACAGGAGAAGCAGCAGCAAAACACCGCCAGCTTGTCCGTTTCGCAAGTCAGCCGCAGCCCGATCTTATCTTATCGGCTCAGTCAGCCATCTCCAGTCATGCTCATATACACGTGATCCGGGGGCCTCGGCAGTCCTCGGTCGCTCTGCCCCGCGGCCTGTCCTCTGGTCTCCTTGGCTGTTACTACTCTCTCTTACTTGCCTTTGCCTCCTCTCATTCTCTTCTTGTCTCCTGTTGGACTCACTTCTTTGCTTGTTCTTGTATATACATCCTGCATTTCTAAATACTACTATCAGTTGCCTGTTCACTACGCTTATTGTATACCCTGTTCTCCTCAACACAGCAAGCAATCCGACACGCCCCATCCTCTCAGCTCGCGTTCAACCTAGTCGGCACCATGAGTGATGCTCTGTGTGGTCCCTCGAATGCGCTGCAGAACTTCCAAAAGCATGCGTCTGTTGATCGTACCCTCCAGCAAGATAGAATTATTTCTCGACAATCGCCTTCTCAAGTGAGTCTCTCGCCGTGAGCGTGTTTAACCGAATTGTACTTATGGAATTATCAGGGGTTTCGATCTCAAAATCCAAGCCATGGGGTTCTCGATCCCGAATTTGCCGCATTCGAGTCCGGTCTAGCAGGAGCGCCCCTTCCCGATGTACAGCATGCCGGCCCTTTCGTTCCTCCCTCTCATCAGTTTCCCGTATCAGGCCCGGCAGAATCGTCAAACTGGGCGGCAGACTTTCAGAATATGCATATATCGGGACCTTCGCATTCTCTTCATCAAACATCAGGACCATCTGTAGCGCCGATGGCAGCCATGTCACAACAGGGTTGGCAGAATGAGTTCGCTCAGCAGCAACGACCCTCTTTCCAGCAGCATCAGCCACATGTCCAAGGGCTTCAGCCAACCTTTGCACCTCGCTTTCCTATGACTGGTGCTGCTTTCCCCCCTGCGCAAGCCACCGCAGCAAACCAGCAACCGATGGCCGACACATTTGATGAATCGGCGTTTGAAGCTGCATTTGAGCAGGCGCGGGCAGACATGATGTCGCAGGAAACCGAAACTACACCTGTACACGCCGAAGAGGTCGTGGAAGAGACGAATCATGTTACGGCTGAAAGCACGGAAGAGAAGATCAAGATTGGATCGGATACCATTCCCCAGACAGAGAAGAATGATCAACAGGCACGGGTGAATGATGCGGACGAGCTCGCCCGAACTGCGGGGCAGCTTTTAGACAGTGTCAAACATGATCAAAGCCAGAAGTTCAGAGAAAGCAACTTCCTTGCCTTGATGCGCCGCATTCGCGACCGTGAGGTTCAGATCGAGGGGGATGAATTTCGCGAAGTCAGTACCAGCAGTCCGTGAAATGAAATCAAATTCGGCTGGCGTGGAACGAACGCTGGTATAATCAAGTCTTTGCGCGCCGGCCTTTGTTTCTGCTAATCAGTATCTAGATTCCGCATCCACTGCACCCAGGCGGCAAATATTATCCGGAACGTCGGAAAGAACGGCAAGGGCAGACAATAGGAGATACGGACCATCATGCCCGCGGAGACGCTACACCCAACACTACGAGTAAGTTTGTGACGTGCCAGGCGGCCTATTACTACTTCGCATGATGGATCAGGGTGATAGGCTGGAAAAGCTAACCGGGTTTCACCGAATAGGCGCCATGCATGGGATTTCGTCTAAAGGAAACTCCGCCTCAATCACCAGGGTAAATAATCCGGAAAGCTCACCTGGTGGCTTCGGCCCTAGCGGTGATTACTCTGCATACGGGGATTGGCGTCATGGGGACCGCTGGGCTTAAAGTAATCATTTGACTTTCCAATTCAATTCTTGGGGCTAGGAAAGGGAATGTATCGAACTAGCCGGTTGATTTATGGTCTCTCGGGATCACGCAAGTGCCGAGCAGTCCTTGTTGGTTGGAAGTGTCAGACTCTAATCCGTCAGAATTGGCTGTGTCTATTCAGATGCTCTATTCATCCTTTGAAACTCTGGGGTGGTATCGCATAGGGACCCTTGTTTTCTCTGAATCGACACGTGACCCTATTCCGCCTATTGATGGAGGAGAACAATATCACAGCCAGAGCACGTCAATTCGAGACGCAGGTGGCATTGTTATGAGACAATGTTGACCATTACGGACTGTGTGATGCACTCCTAAGCCATTTTGGCGCGATAGAGTATCGCTTTCGCCTACTAGTGGATGGTGTCGAGAGACAGTTCGTTTAATGATGCATCCTAGTTACCTTGATAGATGTTTTTGATAGCGTTTATTCATGTCAATTGCATGCTATTGTTCTTAGCGGCAGTGACCAATCCTTACCAATTACTCATTTCACCCATCCTTTCATCCTGTTCTTTAAAGTCCGGTCTCCTTTCCGTAGGACTGTCTTTCGTTGCCACAGTGCATCACATCTATACCAATCTTTTCATCCTTCTCTATGACTTCTAGCGCTTATCAGACCGAATTCTACTCACAATGCTTCCACCATCTGAATCCATCCTTCATCAATTCCACAAATTAGCCGAATCACAAGAAGATTCCGACCAGACAAACATCATTACACCGCCACCTCCATACTCTTCTTCCGCTCACAATCCCCAAAAAGAACTTGAAGCCGAAAATGCCTCCTCTCATGGGGAAACAGACCAACCCAGCCTCATAACCATCCACATCGACGCATCAATGAGCATTCAGGGCAACGCAAACGGCATCATCATCCCATCAGTGACAGCACCAGCACCAGCACCAGCCCTCAATCCCCAGGCATCACCCGCTCTCATTCCATCCTTAACATCAACCTCCACCGTCCCGCAATCAACCCCATACCAGCGCCATTCCAAATTAACAGACATGGCCACATCCATCATCACTGCCTTGCATCGTACGGGTCATCTCAATTCTCCCGATAACTCCGGTGCAGCAGCAGAAAATGCAAATGCATCATCATCGCCATCTGTTACCCTGAAGATCAACACCGGGATCAAAATCCTGGGAAGTGGGAATGTAATCTGCGTGGGGATGGGTGGACAAAGAGGCATGGGGATGAATGTGCTAAAGAGAACGAGGAGGGCTTCTTCAGTGAGTTTCGTATTAATTCCTTTCCTTGGATTGTTTTCGCTTGGTTTATGCTTGGGGGCTCTGGTGTATGGGGTTGTGGGCTTATAGCTGATTAATTCGTTCTCTGGTATAGGAACCCCCGGAGGTAGCTACTAATGCTGCTAAGAGGGCACGGTAGTGTGCTTGCATCTTTCTCTTCTCTGGTGCGTGGTACGGAATTGATTGGGTAGGGCGATTGATGTAGATGGTGGTCTTTTCGCTCTCTTTCTTTCTCTGTGCGTGTGTGTATGTACTCTTTCTTTTTCTTCTCTTTCCCTCTATTTTCTTTTTGTGTCTTGTTGTGTTTTCCGTCTCTGATCCTGTTTTACTTGCTTTCTCTTATCTCTTCTCGATGGGCTTAATAATGCTAGGTGGGGATAGGAGATAATATACGACTGGCCTGTGGGGAAAGTAATGGGATGGATTGATGATATATAGTAGCTAAGATAGAGAGCAATTTCGTTCCGGATTAGTGTTGGTTAGTTCTAGTTTAGTTAAGATTGCCTGTGATTCATCGAATAGAATGTCATCGTGTTCATGTGTTTTTGAGTTGGTTTGTATTGTGTGTGGTTTTGTTACTATGACTAGGATGATGATGGTTGAACCGAGCACCTCTCGTGTATATATATATATCCATACTTACTAGTTAGGGCCAACCGCAGCTGTCCAATTAGCAGAGTATATTCAGAGTATGAAGTTACAGAACAATACAGCCAATAGTAACCTATACAAGACGAGTAAATTTCCAAACATATAAACTCTCTTCGCACCTTCTGCTATGACGCCGAAACTATCATACAACACATCAATCAATAGCAAGACTACTGAGGTAGCTACCACATAACCATCCGGTTTGATCGCCCACACAAAAAGGACAATAAAACCAGAATAGGCAGGAACACCATACATACTTCAAAAAGAGAAAGAAAAAGAAAGAGAAAAGTGCCCACCAGATCCTCGTAACGTAGTATACCAGCCCAAACAGACCAACACCACACTGAAGCAAAAGCAAAATAAAATTGATCACCGAATATTTTAGAGTCCTTACAAACCCAACCAAAGATGATGGAGAATGAAATAAAAGTGGCCCGGACCTATCGCCAGAGAAGCAAGGGCAGGTACCAATCCATCAAGAAGAACATATTAGGGAGAGTAAGAAAGTAAAAAGCAAAAGGTAATGAAAAGTAGTTAAGAACTTTGAAAGTATGGAAATAATGAGAAACGCCTGCCCCAACTATAGAATAGAGGTTCATTAGAGATATCATCAATCAGATAGTACATTGACTGGGGGTGTGTGATGTGCTTGTTTCGGCACGGGGAAAACACAAGGCAGGCTGGTGGGAGGTTGGGGGCCTTTCTTCGACGAGGATTCATCACGTCAGGGATACTTCGTAGGAATATGTCACGAAATAGCCGGCCTGTGGAGAGAGAGAAAGAAACAACATGGAATCAGACTCTGGCTCTGACCCCTGCTTGAGGTATCGTAGCAGGGAGAGGGATCGATCTCACCTCTGCCGTATAGGTACAGAGCGTAGAGCCGGGGGTCAAAGAGAAACATCTACGCTTATGCAATCCACCAAGTCTACTACCGGCCGATGGGCATATCGTGACGGTGTAGGTCTCTGGACCACTCGGGGGCCACCTTGTCTCGTTCGTACAAGAGACCACAGTTGTGGCAGAGAGTCTGTCGCAGTTAAGTCAGCAAGTAGTTATTTAAAGATGCGGCACATAGATCTTACTCTTGGGCCTGCCGGGCCATCTCGTACGGCCCAAACGGCCGTACCCCAGACCATACAGTTGGTGCATCTCCAAGTTTGACGCTCCCTATCGAAAAAAGAAGGTGGTCAGTATGCGCACTATGAAGAGATATTAAAGGTATGACAAACCAGTCGGCAAGTGTACCGCCACCTCCACCATAGCCAGCTCCTGAACCAGTGTCCGGAGTCCCTCGTCCTCCAGGGGTTCCTCCTCTCCCTGACGGACTCAGACTGCGGAATCGTCTCTTTCGTTTGCTCCGTTCGCCTCTTCCTAGCGGCGTTTCACTGTCGACGTCAAAGTACCCACTGCCCTGTCGGGAGGCGTCGGGCGTTATGCCTGCAGTGGAGGAGAATCTGGCCGTCTCTCGACGTAGACGACGAATCTGACGTTCGCGATCACCCTCACGCTTCTCGATTTCCTCCTTTGACAGTGTCTCCACTTTAGGTTCCCATTCGTCGCCCAGTCCCTCGGGATCGTAACGCCAACCCGCCTCCGCGCCGTTGGCAGCTTGATTGTCGATCTCATTACCATAACCACCCATGCCGCTGATAAGTCCACCACTTTCGCATACTTCTTTCTTTAATCTCAGAGCGGCTTCGTAGATGCCATGCGCAATGGCTCCGACCCATTCCCCACCCAGACCAAGGTCCGCGCACGTAATTCTGGCAAACTCCTCCGCCATGCCTGGAGGATGCAATAGAGACCATTCAAATTTGTCCGTGTAAAGTTTATTTTGCAAGTTGATATTCAAGTTGATCATGCACCGATACGCGTCGTCCGGGTTTAGTATGCTGTCGTTCACGAGAGGTTCCTTGGTCACCGTTACCTGGTTAGGTCTGCTGTCAGGTGTCGCGACGTGGGTGGAAACTGGTGTAGCAGATACATCTCGTGACAGGCCAATCTGCGGAGCCGGGGGCTTTGGCTGTACGCTCTGGAATAAAGGATGCAGAGCAACGCCGGCATATTCTTCCAATTGTTGACGGATCTGGTTGCTAATAGCCATCGTCATGGCCTGCGGATTCGGTAAATCCATATCGCGAACGAACCCTACGGCGAACTCTTCGGGAGTCGCAAGAGCCTCGTGAAGATTCCAAAGGAATGTGTCTTTGATGCGATAGGCAGGCAGCGCCTCTGGCCGTCTGTAGGCGGGCAAGGTAGGGTTAATACTGGGATCGAGGACTGTTCGCGGCAAAGGGAATGGTTCTAAAGGTTGATGCGCTGGGACCTCCAGATCAATTCGAATAGGTATAAGGGTAAGAGGGAGCTGCGCTTGAATTTGCAGCTGATCGGCGCAACTGTGCGAAGGGAGAAGACTCCAAGTCAGTACCATAACAAATGCTGGGAAAACACGGAGGCAAACTGGAAACGCTTAAAGAATCAGTCTGGGCGGCACATACGCTGGTCGCAACATCCTCTTGATCATCCAATCGCGAAAAACCCCTTGGACCTCAACAGGGGCGTGGATCTCTTTCCCCAGCTTCTCCGCCAGCGGCACCTTGTCGAACGTTGACTCCTCCCGTCGAAGGCTCCTTAGCCCAGTTGGCCGCCGAGGTCCCTCGCTGTCCTCAAAGTCTTCATCATCGTAACCATCTTCCGCATAATTGATGGCGGCGGTTCCTCGCTTGGTCGTCCGTGAAGTCGGGCCAACTTGGCTAGGTGGGATGATCGGGGTGAGAAGCGCATTGCCATATTGGCGCACACGAGGCGGGTATGATGTGATGTAGCCTCTGAGAGGGGACATGTTGGCCATTTAGCTGGTCAGGGACATGTCCCTTTCAGACACTGCGCAAGTCGGTCGGCGAACAGGGCCGCGTACAATCCGCTGGACGAAAGGGCTGACAGCAGATGATTGGAAACGATGATTTCAAAGTGTTATGGCCGAGGTATCGCTGCGCGGGTAGGAAGCGCCTGAAGCGAACAATTGCTGAAGGAAATCGCGGTTCCGGAATTGAGGCTGCGAAATGGGGATGGTGAACTGAAGCCAAAGCTGCTCTTTGACGGTGATCGCGGTCGAGCTCCGCCTTTTCTGCTCGTCGCGTTTTGCCAGAACTGCCGGCCTTTCCACGCTAGGCCCCTTCCAGCCATATGATCACGTGATATAACATCCAGGGCAAGCCTGCCTGGAGAATTAGAACACAAACTTGGGAGCTACAGAGTTCATTTTAAATTGAAATATTGGGCGACTGCCATGTAATCCTCGTGTTATTTTGCGTATATTGTAGAGACACATTATATGGATTTCCAACTCGGCAACAGAGTCTTTCACATTGTCAAAGCCCAGCAACAGGGAGGGCTAAGCGGCCAAAAAGGTTTAAGACAAAGCAGGATAGGAATGAAATTAGATGAAAATACAGATCAATGCATGGGGTCCGGCCAGCTAATGAAAACTATAAACAGGATTACACAGTACCCAATGATAATTGAATACGCCATCCCTCTTGTCTGTTAGGCTGCGGATGCAGACTCGGGATATAGGGGATATCATCAACACCGCAAATGTGCACTGGGCAACGCAGGGAAAAAAAAAACAAAAAATGGGCTGCTAACAAAGCGATTCTAATATGCATCGACGAGGACGAAAGAAATCGCAGGATAACGGCGGAGACCAAAAAAGTCCATTGGTACGATATGACCGCCGCGAGAAGGCTATCGAAGCCCGATTACGCTCTGCAAATATTGGTTAGATCTTGAGATATATGATAACAGTAAGGGAAAACTCACCATCTCTAGAGTCCATACTCTACGAATCCAAATTTTCACTTTGCCTTCAACTCCCTCCACATCATCCAGCTCAACTCCTTCCCACCAGCATCTCCTGGCTGGTTTCCTCCAGAAAAGAAGGAGCTTCTGAGCCATGCCAACTGCGTTGTTGTTCGACAGGTCGCCCCGGATGTCGGTACGCAGCTTGGCCAGAGCCAGGCTGCATATTACCGCCTTGTTGGGCTCTGGGGCCCGGTGGCCCCATCGGTCGTCACGATCAAACCCGCTGCGATCAGTTAGTCTCGAAAAAAAAAAACATTCTTTGTATCACCTATTGGGGTAATGAGTGGGAATAGTCAACTCACCCTGCAGTAAGCATCTCTATGAGATGCTGCTCTGTCGAGCCGGCTTCGTCGCTCTTTCTCAGCCCAGAAAATATCCCGTCTTGTTTTAACAATGCTTTTGCAGCCGCGCGCTTGACCTCGATCATCTCCGCCTGGTCTATATCTGGGCGAGGTGGGATCGCATAGAAATCGAGATCCTCGCGCAGCACTATGATACCAGCACGGTCCTGAAGCATATCCCTAGCAGTCCCTTGCATGGAGTCGGGAGCAACATCCAGGTCCGGAGAGGTCGATGCAGATGGTGATGATGATGGGATGGATTGAGCAACCGATCGGA